GTATGTCCGATCAGCAGCAGACCAACGCCAATGTTGTAAGCAGATTTCTGTCCACAATATACAAATCATACACACAAATTTGCAAGATGTATTGTATTAGGTCTAATATTGTTGCATCTAAATTTGAGATGGAGAAAACAGAAGTGAAAAATCTGCATGAATTCCGAAATTGTGAAATAGTATTGATTTAACGCCAGTATCAATACTTTTAGGTTATTTTAAGAGGCAAGACCTCCGACTTTACCATCCATCTCCGAAAGGACCGAGCGAGTGGGAAATTCGTGCAAAGTGCCTTTCCCATGGACACAACGACGAATCGAGCTGACGCTCGAACCTCCGGATTACGAGTCCGGATGCCTCACCACTAGGCAACTGACGCCAATAGGAATTCCGATGTTGTGCTTCTTTTTTTCAAAGTGTCCCAAGACAGGGCGTTCATATGACCTTATGTTGTTGCAAACGCCGTAAAACACTCTACTATAAAAAAAATTTTAAAAGCAGGGCGTCTTTAAGAGTTGTCGAGAGACCAGAATACACATCCTCAATGATGTAACACACTGCAGAATGACGCTGAATACATACGCTACACTGTGCACTCACTGTACATGAACACTTACAAGTCGTGTGCCCTTTCCTGATTTGTCGCACAGGCTGTGGTTGGAAATATGAATACGTTAGCATTTTCAGCATTTAAAAAGATAGGCCTCAAGCTACAAGCTAGCACCTGCGTTTGTTGCCATTTTTTGTCCAAAAGATACCAGAAGTTGTCACGAAAATAGCAAAAATTGCCATTCATTTTCAAGCTTTCAAACTCTCTGTGACGACGTATAGCCAGGCCTGACGAGAGGGGGGGTCAGGGGGGGCCAATGCCCCGGGGCCCGGGTGTTTGGGGGGCCCGCAAGCAGGGGGGAAAGAGAGAGAGAGAGAGAGAGAGAGAGAGAGAGAGAGAGAGAGAGAGAGAGAGAGAGAGAGAGAGAGAGAGAGAGAGAGAGAGAGAGAGAGAGAGAGAGAGAGAGAGAGAGAGCGTATGTTGGTAGGTAATAGATATGCTACAGTAAAGTGATTATATGTGCCTATGTACATTGTATTTGTTGGGTTATTAAATTGCAGGTGAGGGTGGGTGGGGCCTTGGGGGGGGGCGGAGGAGGGCCCGAAGGTGATTGCTGCCCCAGGGCCCGACCAGGCTCTCGACGGCCCTGCGTATAGCGTATAGCAATATGTCGATAGAGATAAGTTAATCTAAAGCACCAGCATTTCTTGTGCTCTCTTTTAAGCATCCAGAATATCATTTGGAGCCACACGGAGTGTAAAAACTTGAAAAAAATAGAGGTTTCACAACAGAATGAAATCAAAATTAAAACAGCATATAAACAGTCACAAAACTAAACAATAATTGCGTGTTTCCACCTTTCCTAAGATTGGCCGTTTTAACCCTAAACGTGTGTAATTCTAGAAAAAAGTACAGGATATTACATGTAACTTATGGAATTAAACTCAAGGGGCCTGCCAGTGTCAGTATTCGGTTTTGGTGGAGACATGCTTTAACATAACACATTTATACATAATATATACAGTCGTGGAAAAAAGTTTAAGACCACCCGATACTTTTTTACATTTTAGCAATAAATTGAACATATTGTTCTGTTATTTTAAAAAACGCATTCTTTAACGGTTAAAATATGTTTATGATAAGCTGTTGTGGAATAGTTTTGATAAAAACTAGTACTGTGTGTGTCCACCCTTTCCATGGATGACTGCTTGAACAAGACACGGTGTGCTAACATGCTTGACTGGTTTGCCAATATTCTTCCGGGGAAATTCCATGTATTCACACTTCCTTGATTCTACCCCTTACGGTTTTTGCCCTGGGCCGCTGTTTCTTTGTTATCGATCCAGGCTGTTGTTGTTGTTATCGATCCAGCCGCTGTTTCTTTGTTATCGATCCAGGCTGTTGTTGTTGTTATCGATCCAGCCGCTGTTTCTTTAAGACTTTATTTTTCTTGAGAGACATTTTCAGCAGGATTGAGGTCGGTGCTATTTTCAAGCCACTGTAAGGTCGTGACCGTAACTCTTTAAAGGTACTATTGCACAGTCTTTGTTCTGTGGCATGGAGCGTCGTCGTGCATGGAAATTTTGCGCCCTTGAATGTGCATGTATATTTCCAATTTGTCCTGAAACAGTTCCAAAGGCCTGGGCCATTCAAAGTCTGTCCAGGCTTTTAAAAATATAACCCAGAGAGAGAGAGGGGGGGAGAGAGGGGGAGTGGGGGAGAGAGAGGGAGAGAGAGAGAGAAAGAGAGAGAGAGAGAGAGAGAGAGAGAGAGAGAGAGAGAGAGAGAGAGAGAGAAAGAGAGAGAGAGAGATTTTCAGACTTAAAAAATAGAGACTTAGCTCATAACACTTGACAAATGTTTCAGTGTCTGTATGATATACTTTGCACCGTATCTTTTCCCTGGTGGCGTCCTGACATGATACTGCCGAACTACAAACTGCTGCAAAGTCAAATCATCTCAAAACATCACTTTGGTCACTTTGTCCAATGCTTTGCACTCCGCTGCTCATTGATTCTTGTACAGGCCAGCTACTTCCTTTTCATATCCACGGGTTAGTCTTTGTTTACGGGCTGATTTACAAGATTTGAGCCCAAATTCTTCAACCAACCGTCGTGAAACAATTCTGCGACTCACTTTTGAACCCTTTCGAAGAAAGGCAGCTCTTGTTTTCTTGCAAAAACCTGTAGTTGACCAGGGACAACGTTTACATGAAGCAGTTATATCTGGGGGGAAGTTTTTCTGGGACAATCACTTCTCTTCTTGTCACAATACGATCCATAAGTTTAATAATTAACAGGAACATTGCGGATTTGTGTCGCTCCACCCTATTTGGGATGAAATCTCTCGAAGAGCCTCTCTTTGGGCTCGTTGAACATCAGAAAGTGAAGATTTTTGCCATATTTTTTGCATATTTGTTGATCAAGAAAAAATACTTTCAATCAGGCCCATAGCCTTCAAAGAACTGACAGAATGCCCTGGGAACATTCATTCTAAGCGCATGATGCAGTAGACCAGAAATAGTGAAAATAATTTCAAAATAAAAAAGAAGAATATGCGATATTTGGAAATAATAGAGAAATTGCATTATTTGTTGGGTGTTCTTAAGCTTTTCGCAGCGACTATATACAGATAAGGTAGGAACAACATCAAATTAAATAACATTACGCTATATAACACACAAAAATAAAAAACAACAAATCAGAACAATAACAAGGGAAAAAAATAACACACCAACAAATTAAAACCCAACAGAGAGGGAAAAATAAAAGAGAAACAGTAATATATAAATAGTATGTAATGTGCTTATTATATTCTTCACATAAAAATAACAAATCAACGTGGTGTCAACAAGTGAGAAAGAGACGAAGCGAATAAACTTTTTTCTAAAAGTAAAGAATTTCGGTTTCTTTTTTTTTTTCTCTCGATGATTTTTATTCCTGGGCGGTGGGTTTTTGTTGTTTTGTTGTTATTGTTTTTTTGTTTGTTTTGTTTTGGGGGTTTTCCAAGAAAAATACAAAAATCGCACTCTCGATTCGCGGACCAAAAAATGCCAAAAAAACGCGGCCGCGACAAACGCAGATGCTGGTACAAGAAACAAATATTCCCCACCAAAATGTTAAGAAGAGAATAAAGATTTGATGTAATAAATGGGGTACCGTTGCAGTACAGGTAAACAGATACCTATTACTAAAAAGGAAAACAAGATGTTTTTAAAATTCGTCTTCTAGCTAGTAGATGTGGTTACATGTAAGAGTTGAGACACTCCACACCTTTACTCACTCCACACATGTACGCTACACTCTGCATTCACCGCACACTGCTCTCGGAACACTGCATTTTCTACACGTGAAGACAGGACACACCACTCTATATCCAGGTTTTCACACACAGCAACTGGCTACGTCACGGTAAAATGCGGCAACCGGGAAGTAAACTGATCGGCGCCTTGAAACACCAGCTCGGCCCCACCTCACCCACCCCACCCACGCTATGCTGAAATTGTGCCTGGCTCTCTTTCGCACAGACCAGTCGACCGTGAGATTTTAACTTACGTACGTACTTAAGGTGCAAACACAGTGGAATCTGATCCGGGTACGCTTCCAGCTTTAAAACCCCTGACCTCGCCCGCCGTATGACAAACGTTTGAGCTGGAATGTTCCTTTCTCTCTGCATCGCCTCCACAGTGGTGTCGTTACCGGTTCTTTCTCCACACGGCACAATTCTTTCGCAGAAAGCATTTTAGTGCAGCACTATAATTTCTACCGGCTAGGCTCCGGCTTTTTCATTGTGTGCCACGCTCTTTTGAACACGTGTATAGTGTCGCACAAACCAAACATGGAATCAACATTCACCAATGAATCACTAATGGCTGCTGTGGAAAAAAGAAAGCATATGTACGATAAGTCGGATGTCCTATACACATTTACTTCGTTGCCCAGAATTTCTTCCACAAGGCGATGGTATTCGCCAAAGTTATCCCTTTGTTGAAATATTGGATGAGCCCAATACGCCTTCTTTTAAGCCAGGAGCATTAATATAAGCTACAAAACCTCCATTGTCTGCACCGTTACGTCTATTGCATCATGATAGCCCGCTAAGCCAGATGTCGAGGCGGAAACAAGCCGGGTGTATCCGTTTTTGTCACCGCGCAGCTGTTTTGACGTGCGGGACGGATCTCCAAACTGAATGCCACTGTGTTTGCACCTTTACTCTCTCCCCATACCGTCAGTACATAAGGCGGAGAGCCAGCTGCAGTCGACGCCACGCTTGCCTGCCCGGGGCTACATTCTCCAATCTCGGCACTACAGCTGGGTTGCGAGCGCGAGAACGGAACTGAATCGCCACTCTTGCCTGCGGAACGCGATTCACGATTCACTTCAGCGGAACGCGGAACAGTATCGCCAAACGATTCCCGATTCACTCCCCTGTTGCTGTCACCACATTGTGGTTGTTTAACCTACTGCTGAGTCGAGTCACGAGCGCAAGAACGGAATGGAACAGTATGGTTCCCCTTATTTTACAAAAGATGGACTAGTCCAACCCCCTATTAAAACAAAATGAACGGGGTCCAACCAATAAACAGAAGGAATTTTATGGAGCCATTGTTTTAGCGAATCATGGGGTGGGGGAGTGAATTTATGGGGGTCACTAATTGAGGTCAGTAAATAGAGCAGCGCAACAAAGGGTGTGGGGCGGAGAGGATGGCGGAACAACAAGAGTGGGACTCGCGCTCGCCAAGTGGCGTTGATATGACTTAGTTCCGTTTCAGTCAGTGTTCCGCCACAGTTCCATGAGCGCTCGCGTACTCGCGATTCTTTGAAGCCGACTAAATCGCGAATCGCCACTCTCAAATTTGGCGAGCAGGATCCAGCCCTACTCGGCACAACCAGGCCCTGTGTGTTTGCCTCATCCCTAACTGTGCCTCCATAGCTTCCTATTGGTCTCCCTCTTTTTCTTTTTCCTGTTGGTCTCCAATGCCATGTCTGATAGTGATAGGGAAACCTTGTCTTTGGCATTCTTATAACATGTCCTAAATATCCCCATCTTCTCCTTTTTAAGGTCGTGCTAATATCTTCAATTCCAGCTCTTTCCAACACGTCATTATTTATAAGAAATTCATTCCATATATAAATATAATAAAATTCTTCAAAAACATTTTGTATAAAAGTTAGGTTATAACCAACATCAAAAATAAGCTCTTGTACGGGGTCCACCTTTGAAAGTATAAGCTGCCAGTAGAAAGAGAGTAAGAAGAATGAAGACAACAAGTGCAGGTAGGAAGTTTCTGGTCCCCTTCTATGTTTTATTCTACTTTTCCAATGTTGTTGTTGTTGTTGTTGTTTGTGAGTGTTTTTCGGCGCTCGGACCAGCATAAGGACATATAAGCGCGTGGGACACATCAAGCATTATTTGTTTGGAAGGAATTTATTTTGAATTTTGCCCGGGTGGCTACTAAAGCCTGCTCTTTTTCAATTTTAGGACCAGCAAGGGATCTTAAACGTGTGCAGCTTGCCCATGGGACCTCCGAGATTTTTTGCCCCATATCCAAGAAGGCTAGGTGCTAGATCTTACCTACCCTAAGATAAAGGGTGTGGCTGAAGGGCAGCAGTAAGGAGCTAGGGAGTAACAGTAGAAAGGCAACAGAAAGATTTAAGTAAGAGCCCAAAAGGAGGAGGCAAAGGAGGCGGCAGAAAGTGAAGAGGAAAGCAGACGACAGAACAGGATTATAGAGCAAGCAGGAAAGGTGAAAGGAGAAAATTTTTTTTGTGAAGAAAATGTTCCGTTTTAGTCAGGTTTCGAACCCGTAACCTTTTGAATGAGAGGCGAACATCATACCTCTTGACCAGGCGGGTGGGAGCTTCCTGGTTCCCGTCTATGTTTTATTGACTTCTCTTTCTCTCAGCTAAATACCCCCCGGCTTCTGGAAAACCCGGTTCCAGTCCCGTGAACGACAGGGTTTGAGCAGTTCCACGCGCGGTGCGCACACGACGACACTACGTCATTGCGGTTTGTGTGTGTAGTGTATGGGATATTGTTGCTTTGTCTCTTCTCTATATGAATGCGAGAGAGAGAGAGGGAGAGAGAGGGGGAGAGGGGAGAGAGAGGGGGGAAGGGGAGAGAGAGGGGGGGGAGAGACGGAGAGACAGAGAGAAACAGAGTGTATGCGTGTGTCACGAAAGCGGTACTTTCGCTCGCAGGCAGCCAGCGCCGCACCCACTGTCAGTGGCCGCACCTTGTATATCTGACCCCAGTCGTGGGGTCATGAACTCGAGGCCAGGGGAATTCCCCGTGCCCCGCTATCAGCGTTGATTATTTCATTTTTAAGACAATCAAACTCGCAAAATACGCCAATCGGTGACTTTACCGTCATTTTATTTTGCCCGTTTGGAACAAGAGGGAACTTCTGCACTTACTGAGAAAGATACAAAACTGTATGAAATAGCGAAAAATATATATAGCGTTCCAAAAATGGCTCATATTTTTACGGTGACCTTGGGGGGGGGGGGGGGGGTTTTTA